AGTGCATTTTCGGTATATCTTTCGCTCCACCAGATTTCAGAATCCTCACCCAACGATTATGTAAGATACAGGGGTGTTTCCATTAGAAGTAGGTCACACTGTATAACAGCAAATGAGACATTCCACATTTGAAGACAATCTGCGAAGGTAAGTTGAATATACGTGTAGGTATTGGTATCAATTTTGAACAGGAAAACTCTGGAAATTGTTTTTTCTTGTAACATAGTTGTACTGAGGTGTTTCCCCTTCTTACTTCATCAGAAACTTGCTGAGAACCTTAATTGATATCAATTTAACCGCAAACCATAACAATACATCACTTTCAACTACGAAATAGTCACAATGCTCAAAGTGGAATCAAATGTTTAATGAATACAAAAAGCTCGAAGTCATTTCCACACAATGTTCATAAAATAAACAACAATGGTAGATTTCGGGAGAAAGTCAACTACTTTCCTGGCTATTCGGCGGTCTTAGGACTGCTGACTTGAGACTGCTCTGCACTGATGAGAGTCAAAGAGCTAGAAACCGGTCTGTAGGTGTCTATCGTGGCCTAGCAAAATCGAAATCAATAGGCATTCAGGAAAGAATCACTTGGTACAATGTTCTGCGTGGCATTAGCCGATCATTGTGGCTATTTCGTGGTATTTTGGAGTGTTTCTTTCCTGATTTCCTACTCAGATAACGTTGCTCTCAAATTGTCTGTGACAATATAATGCCGACTTGATTTTTGTTTTGAAAGGATAAGCTTAGTCGGCGATCTTAGGACTGCTGGCTGGAGACTGCCCTGAACTGATGAGAATCAGAGAGCTCTTAACCAGTCTGTAGGTGTCCAGCGTGGATTGGCAAAATCGAAATTAATAGGCATTCAGGGAAGAACTACTTTTATCAGTATTCGTTTGTACGAGTCGATGCATACATTGAACACCTAGGGAATAAAGTGGTATTCTGAATCCCTAGACAAACATTTTATAGCACGACCAAAGGCAGGGCTATAAAATGTTGAGGGATTCAAAAACCTTTTATTCCCGAGGTGTATATACTATTTAATGCAGTTCAGGATAGGTAAAACGTTAAGGAAAAAATAACGAAAAAAGAATTCGAATGCTAGTAAACCGTAGTGTTTCTATTTCTAAAACATCATCGGAGTGATTCATTGTTACCATATCAAAGACCTCAGTAACTATGGTGATGCAGATCATGATTGTCATCGGCAACTGAAAATCTTGGTGTGTTATGAAAAGTAACTGAGTAAAACAAAAATAAATGAATATTAGTCAAACACGCTACATCGATTGAAAGACGTTGATCGCGATGAAACAAATCGAAAAGGCAGCTCAAGAAGCTGAAGGCCAATTATTACCAAGAAAATCTGGAGAGGAATATAAAAAACGGTTATCTGGGAACGTAGAAAAATGTACAGAAAAAAAGGTATTGCTAGCATATTTCTTGGAAAAGTCAAAAGAGCTTGAAGCATCGTCATTGTGGAGCGTATATTCGATAATAAATGCCACAAACATTTCGAAAATACGTTCATGAATTTAGTTTCAATTGCAAAGGATCCACTTTGAATCCCTAGGGATTCAATGTGAGTTTAAATCCCTAGGGTTTCAAAGTACTACTCTTTTTCCCGAAAATAGGGAATAAAGGCACCCTTCAAATCCCTGAAGTGCATGAAAATTATTTGAAATAATGCCTGATGATCTGACCAATGAAGAATGGAGAAAAAAATTTCGAATCTTCAGTGCCGAAACAAATTGCTGGTTCGGTTGAGCGAACGTCATCATAAGAGGTAACAAGATATTGTAATTCGCTTTCGAATTCATGTTCAAGCTGAAATTTATTAGGAACCACTCACTAATGTTGACAAAGAATAAAACATTGAAACTTTATACCTATATATGCGATTGTCCCCAGTTGTTATTCAAGAAATGAATGATCATATCAAAATAGTAGCCGACCTCGAAACAGGAGGTGCATCAATAGCCGTCGAGTTTGAAAACATGATTTTTTGATTATTTTTGGTAGGTATTTTCGACTTTGTGAAGGACACTTCGTTCTGTTGAGAATTGAGAGTATGTGAATATCTTTTATTCGAATTGAAATGATTGTTTTCACGAGAAAGAAATTGGTAATTCATAATACACTGTATGAAAATGTATCCTAACCCACTTCGTTCTTGAGATACTGGATATTGATGTTGAAACTATTAAATGTTTTTTCAAGATAGACAGACCCTAATAGCACACAATGTACTAGGGACGTCCCTATTTGGTACAATTCACGTCCGAATGTCCCGAACCAAAAATTAGTGTCCTTGGGACGTCCCATCCCGTACATCTCATGCAATGTCTGAGCAAGGACGTCCACGGAATGTCCCTGCTGGTACATCATTTCAAATGTTCTAGAAATGGCATCCCTTAGACGTCCCACGTGGTACATATTGTAGAATGCCCATGCAAGGACGTCCTTGGCATGTCCCTGATGGGATATGATTCTGAACGTTCCTTTAGGGACATCTATCGGATGTCCCGAGTAGTACATATACTGGCATGACTTCAGATCTTATATAATGTCCCTTCTAGACAATCATGAAATGACCCTGATGGTACATTCCTTCAAATATCTCTGCACAGGCGCCCTCAATATTTCCAGGATCGTATAACAATCGAAATGTCCCTTAGGGACGTCCTTCGAATGTCCGTCGGTTGTCTCAATTGGTACATAAACTGTACTCTTCCAATGTCCTAGAAATAACGTCCTATGGACGTCCTAGTCGGTACTTTCACTTTGTTGTCCCTGCGAGGACGTTTACTTACACCTCGCCGACGAATGATTGCTCGTAGGCTATAAGTACTCCTCGTCAATGTCCTTCACGTAAGTCCATTGGACATCCTTGGGACACTTTTTGGGGACCTTCTACGGACCATCAACTCAACTGGATGTCCTAATCAGTTATGCAAGATCTGGTCCTAAAGGGACCCCGCCAAATTCAAATTCAAGAATAATTTGTACGTCCCTGGGACATCCTATGGACATCCAATTGATATCCCTCAGAGTTGCTTATGAGTTGTCCTATGGATGTCCTAAGGGCGTCCTCTGTAGTGCTTGATGAGGAATACTGTAGGATTCAGGTATTCGATAGTAGTCCCAGGGACGTCCCTCAAGGACGTCTCTAGTTGGTCCTCAAGCGGGACATTTGTGCGTCCCACCGACGTCCAATGAACGTCCACGGTACCAAATTCGAACGTCCTATGGACGTCCTGAATGTCCCTACAGGACGTCCTAAGAATATCCATGGGACATAAGTGTGTTATTAGGGGAATAACTTTTATGCTGAAAAAAATCCAATATGGATGGTGATCATCAAAGTTCTGGATGAATATTATCGAGGATATCGATATCGAGGGTGGCCAGGTAGCCGTGCGGACAGAGTGTCCATATTCTAATCCGCATTCGCTTGCCGGTCGTGGGTTCGAGTCCCGTCGACTGCAGAAATTTTTCTGATGGCCCAAGAAAGTGTTTGGGATCACACGTTAAAAGGTAAGGCCCCCGTCATTCCTTGCTCGCACAAGACTCTCGAAGACTTTTGAGGGTTGCTCGTAAGGGGGCAACCGAATGACGGATAGAACAATTTTAGAACAACACAATATTGAGTTGAGATCATGTTACTGTAAACACAAACAAACAGTTAAAAACTGGCTACGGTTTGCGAAAAAATTGTCACGATAGATCCAAGGCTACAGCTTGGGCCTCCTAGGATAGCATAGCCCCCGCGTTTTACCCTCAAATGCCATACTTTCCATACCAGTAAGACGAACTCGATAGGCCCAGTCAGCACATCCCTTCGTAGTTAAAGTTGAAAAATGTCGAACAACATTGTCCTCCCAGGCAGCACAGAATATTCTATGAATATTCTGACAACGTTATATATACTTATTCTAGAATATTCTTATAGAAATGTTTTGAGAGAGATCATAGAATATTCTCATCCTGCAGCGAATATTCTATAAACATTCAATTTGACATATTCTGGGAATATTCTTTTCGAATATCCTGAGAATATTCCGAATCGTATCAAAATGAATGATATAATATTTTCATCACATGGAGAATGCGAATTCTCAATGTATTTCTTTATATACACGATATACACGACCTATTATTCTCTAGCCTCAATGCTGATTATCCAACTTATTCAGTGTTGTCATCTTGCGATTCATTTTATTCATCAATAAGGTTTGTGGCGAAGTAATTAAGATTCCAGGTCAGTGAAAATTCAATCATAATATATATTGAGTTCGCTCCACTAGAGCAAGCTTTCTTTAATGTCCTTCCTTCTCCTTCAATACACTAGAAATATTCTCAGGATGATTAAAACAGTCCAAATGTTCATAAAACATCCCTTGAATATTTGTATCATATCGAGAGAATTCTGAGAATATTGAAATATGCTCGAAGAATATCCAATGAACGTTCTGTAAATGACATTGTGCTATCTGGGATTCGTCTATAGAACGGCGAAACTCTGAAATTCTTTGAAAAATGGCAGTATTTCCAAGACCTTAAATTCCCAAAAAAATCAAAACTAATTCCAACCCCTACCACCTCTCCCCATCCACCCTAGGTACGTACGATGTTCCACGAACATTATAGACATTTCCTTTCGTGTGCTCCAAGGAATGAAGAAAAAAGAAAAACGCCGGTGCGTCTATTATTTATGATCGTAAAAATGATAAAAACAGTATTGTTCTGATATAAAGATTCCATCTACACGAAACCATACCCGAGAAGATGATATATAATATAACTTTTGCAATTTAAGTACCTTATTGGAAATTCTGACTGGTCTATTAACATTGTAGCAATTATCGGAAAAAATTGACCTTACTAGTGGTGGGAGTCAAGTTCTCACCCAGAATCTTGATATATACCTAGTTGCGTGAAGTCAGGTGGCAATGTCAACTCACTTCTAAATTACTTGTATCTGTTTATCATTAATGATGTTCGTTTGTTATTTATTGTTCATTGGTTTATACGTGCAGGTGCTCGGACATCCGGCAGAGATTAATGAAATTGAAGAAGAAGGTAATCAAAGTTGAAAAAGAGGAATCCTAGAAAAAAATTGTCGGAATTTGAAAAAAATGGTTTTTGACATTTGAAAAAATCAAAATAATACAGAGTGAGCATGAGAAAAAAATGCCCAATTCGAAGTTAGCGGTTTTTCTTTTCATGCATTCTCAGTGTACGAAGTCACTTTGATGCAAGGGACAATAATTATTGTCCCGGTAATTTTGCACTTATCATGCGATGGGTTTTTTTTTCGAAATTTTTTTTTGGTACTCACGTAATTTTGTCTGAAGAATACGAATTTGATGATGAAAATGTGAAGAAACCATTATTTATTGAGATATTTCACTATAAAGTTACAAATTTTACCTTTTTTTCCGCCTGTCTTCTGGATCGCATTTAGAACAATTTGCCCTTCTTTTTTCATCATTGGACAGTTTATATTCAGTGCGTCCATGTAGTAACGCATAAATTCATTATTGGCTAAATGAACAATGAAATTAGAAATTCCCGAATTTTTTTATTTCAATTTACTATTGTTTCAAATCATAATCTAATATACAGGGTGAACCACTTTCGTGTAATGACGTCATCACCATTTTTTTCAAATGGAACCCCCCCTTTTTTTTCAATTTCCAAATTGCCTTTGCTGAGATGACTGGTTGAAATTGGTACAGGGTGGGCAAAAATGCAAACATTTACTTACAAAGTGATAAAAATAATGAATAAACGTAATAAACACATTAAATGAAATTACGTATTGTTATACAACTACTTTGACAAACTATCAAGAATATCCAGCATTATTCTTAATAATTGTATCTTACAGCTTTTATTAGTGATCCAAGCCCGTGGACTATAAAAATCATTTTTGTTTGTTTGTTTGTTTGTTTTTGGAAGTGTATCACATTAATTGCATAACTACATAATTCCATTTAATTTGTTCATTACATTCAGTAACGTATTACTTTCCATAAACAATTTTCATTATTTTGTTTGCATTTTTGCCCACCCTGTACCAATTTGAAGCAACATATTATACATTTTTGGAATCACCTCAGCAAGGGCAATTCTGAAATTCAAAACAAAAACGGGGGTTCTATTTGAAAAAAATGGTGATGACGTCATTACACGAAAGTGGTTCACCCTGTATATTAGATTATGATTTGGAACAATAGTAAATTGGCATCAAAAAACGACCTGTTTCGGGAATTTCTAATTTTATTGTTCATTCAGCCAATAATGAATTTATGCGTTACTTTATGGACGCACTGTATATCACAATGTACGACACACTTTTTTCTATTACGTGAGTCAACTAGAAATATTATTTTCTTGTGATTTAAACATGTTTACTGAAGAGAAGGAAAAATATAAATATTCAAAATGATGGCGTGTGTAATGTCATTCAGAAGCAATCTGTTGACATTTGACATCTCGTATTTGGATTGACTATTGATTAAATGGACGTCATCTGGTATGCTTCTTCACTATGAAAAACTCTCCATGAAAATCATATTCTTTGTTGAATTTTCTTTATAAAAATGTGACATTTAAAGTACATCATGAAGTGTTCAATGACAAAATAAGAAGAGCAAATTCTGTGAATGCATCCAACACAAGGGCAAAAAGTAGGCGAAATTTCGAACTTTTGCTTGAAATATCTCGATTAGTAGTGGTTTGTTAATATTTTCATTATCATCAAAATACGTAAATACCAAACAAAATTTTTGTGAAACAACCCATCGCATGATAAGTGCAAAATTACCATTGTCCCATTTAACTGACAATAATAATCATTGTCACTTTCGAATTGACAATTGGGCTTATATCACAAAAAAAATTTATTTCATAATTCAATAGAACTCACCCAAACTAGCTCGCCACCACAAACCGTTTCTTGCTGTGAGCTCCCTAAGTTTTATAAAAAATTATTGAAATCCTCGATTTTTTGTACCTCTGAAAACGAGGCGATGATGTGACGTCAAAACCCTAATACTGAAACAAGACTATTCCAGACAGATATGAATGATACATAATTTCTGACAAAGTGAATTAGCGCGAGATCACAGTTGAAAGAATTAATATATCAGTTGCCTCAGTCTCCGTCGGGCGTTTAGTATTTTCTTTTGACTATGGCGAAATGAGGTTTCTACGTCATAAGAGGGGTCCGTTTTCAGAAGGTACTATTATTTATGTCTAAAAATAAAACATTCCAGTTAATTTTTCGATCGAATTTTGTCGTCAATCATTATTTATGTATAAAAGGATCATTATAAACATGGTTTGAGTAAAAAGTTCTACCAAGGTGTACACGCCCATTGTCACTTTCAACTGTGTTATTGCTCACTTGAACTGACAGTTATTGTCACCAACACTGACCTTTATTAGCAAATTCAAGCGATAATATTGTTTTTCAGTAAATTCACCTCTGTATACAGGGTGTATTTAAATAACACTGAAAAACTTCAAGGGGTGATTCCTTGTGATATTTTAGGAAATGAAGTTCATATAGACATGTGTCTTAACTTGATGCGTTTTCGAGAAACAGGGTATCAATATTTCCATAAAGAATCATTTTTTTATTCATTTTTCAATTGTCTTCTTATCAATTCCAATGAAACGTTGTGATTTTGTTAATAGTAATATGGAGCTTCTTCTGGTACAATTAGACTCGGAACAATATTTCCAGTGGCGTCACAGTCGGTAAATTTATCGATACTCATGGTGAATGTCCTTGTACGCCACCGGTTTTTCTGAGTTTCATATTTTTATTAGATTGAACTATTCAACAACTTTTTTATTTTTGGTGTGATTTTTGTAGCTAGCTTAGTTTTTGAGGAAACAATAAAAATTCTGTTTGACTCCAAATTTTAACGTAGGTTGTTTTCCATTGAGATTATTCAATAACGCCAATTAGAATCAGTTTGAAATTTCAAGGCTTTCTCAGTCTCCATCCATACTGAATTTCGGCACCATGAAAGTTTATACAGGGAGGGTCATAAATGAAAACAATCAATACTTCCAACTTCAACATCCTGTATCTCAATAACGGAGCAAGTTAGGAGACATGTTTATATGAACTTCTTTTGCTAGAATGTCACAAAGAATTTTTTCGGTGTTACTAAGATATACCCTGTATAAACTCTGGTGATGATATTTTAGATTCATCTATAATATCGAACACGTTGCTAGATTTACCTTTTTTTGCATCAAATGAATCAAATTTTTCATATTGAATGGAATACGCTAGAATTTTCGGCTGCTGAGGTACAGGGCTAGTTTTATTAATGTGAACCCCCCATCATCATCTTTGTTTTTTATCCATATTAGTTTCGATCAATTCAATTCAATTCAAAATATACTTTATTGTCTTAAGTTATCACTTGTTGACAAAGCTTGTTATACACATAAAATACATAAAAAATAAAAAATGAATAAATGAACAACACTAGTTTTAAAATCACACACTCGTTGACAACACTTGAAATGTATATAAATAATAGTTATTTATGCAACAAGTGCAAAAAGTGAATGTTTATTGCACTCGACGTGAAATTGTCCGACGAGGCCGTTAGGACGATAAACAATTTTTGCACGAGTTGCATACAACATTTTTTCTACGTTCATGCAAAGAGCAAATAATGATTTTTTGAGGTGCGGCACTAGGTACAATTCTGTTTATTGTCAGAATTAATTTTTGACTGACGTTTCTATAACCACAGTTGCAATATAAAAAATGTTTGTCATGATGACAGCACGTTGAAGTAGAATGACAGATGAGTGCGATAAAAACTTTATTGCACTAAATATAGTTCAATAAAGTTCTGCTTTTTGCATGAATGTAGGAAAATGAATTGATCCAACAGACAAAATAGGTAATGTTTATATATATTATACACACAGCAATTTGAGAGACTCTAGTTGAAGCTTCGCAGAAAATATTCAGTCAAGTTGTACAATGATGTTTGTAGAAGTAATGCTTTCACCTTTTATTTGACCGCTCTGTATTGAGAGAATGTTGCAATATCTCTTAAAAAATACAGGGTATACAGAAATATATTGATTTTTTTATATAGAATACGCTGTATATTTTTATAGATGGAATCCTCTTAATATATGTTTGGAATCAGGATGATTTAGGGAATTCAAATTCACCGAAATATACAGGGCATTCCATTTGAAAAATATATTCATTTCTGTACACCCTGTATATTTGAATAGATATTGCATCATTGTCAAAATGAATGAAATCTGTGAAAAAAATTGTATAAAATCAGCATTGAAATTTTTTTAATAGGTGGGGAACAAAAAAGATAGAGGGGGTTCACATCAATAAAACTAGCCCTGTACATCCAAGTGCACCCTCAGGAAAACTGCGGAATTCACTCATGCTGTTTCGAAAAAAAAAATTGAAGTGAACATCAGAAAAATGACACTTCAAATTTTTTCTGCTGACTTAAGGTCCAGTTGTAATTATGAAAAGTGTTCTATCGATTGTCACGTAATTTTCAGATATCAGAGTACCTAATTACCCATATCGAATTTGATATAATATTATAAAAAGTTGTTCTCAGTAAACAAGGTGACTTAAGAAATGTTTCAAGCAACAACAATATCCGAATATTGACAATTCAAATCATGGATTAATTCAAAATGAGTATAAGTAGTACAGGGCAAAACAAATTTCAAGGAAAAGGTCGGACAATTGCGAATCTGGAAGTAGAATTAGAAAGATTCTGAATTTTTGTTAGCAACAATTTTAAATATCCATTGAAAAGGAATATTCTCAGATAAATTATGAACATACAAAAATGATTATTATATTTATATAAAGCAATACATTGAGAATTCGCATTCTCTCTATGTGATGAGAATAATTACTCTTTTTCAGTTGATTCAATAGAAAACAACTACTATCCTGGCTATATAGGCTAAGCATATTAGGATTCTCAGAGGAAAGTTTTGCTATAGTTTTGATTTTCTCACCCCCTTTGTTTTTTAGGTCGCTGATCATG